CCCAGAGCAATCAGAAGAGTGTCATAATTTTCTTAACAAGTGGAAACACATCTTTTCTACATCTTTCAAGGACATAGGGAGAACTGATCTAGTTGAACATGAGATTAAGTTAACAGATAATATTCCTTTTAAAGAACCATACAGAAGGATTCCACCATCAATGTTTGAGGAGGTAAGACATCCTCTCAAATAAATGTTAGATGCTGATGCTATTAGAAAATCAAAGAGTCCTTATTGTTCAAACTTAGTACTAGCCAGAAAATCAGATGGTTCACTTAGATTTTGTATTGATCTCAGGAAGTTAAACAACAAAACTATAAGAGATGCATATAATCTTCCTAGAGTGGATGAAACAATTGACACTTTAAATGGCAGTAAGTATTTTTCTAAGTTAGACTTAAGATCTGGTTATTGGCAGGTGGAAATCAAAGAGGAAGACAAACATAAGACTGCATTTTCGCTTGGTCCACTTGGTTTTTATGAATGCAACCGTATGGCATTTGGCTTAACTAATGCGCCTGCTACATTTCAGCGGCTAATGGAAACTTGCATGGGTGAGATGAATCTTAAGGAATGTTTGATATTTCTAGATGATATACTTGTATTTTCATCTACTTTTGAAGAACATTTAGAGAGACTGCAGGGTGTTTTCAAGCGATTAGAAAAACATAATTTGAAATTAAAACCCTCAAAATGTGAATTCTTTATGTCAGAGGTCAAATATTTAGGACATATTGTGTGTGAGAAAGGTATTCAAACAGACCCTGATAAAATATCAGCTTTGAAAACATGGCCTGTCCCTAAAAATATCAAATCATTACGTTCTTTCTTAGGATTCACTGGTTATTATAGGCATTTTGTTAAGGACTATGCCAAAATTGTAAAACCCCTAAACGATTTATTAGTGGGTCACCCTACAAACAAAAGAGCAAGCAAGTCAAAGAAAAAGAAAGTACCTTGGATTTGGGGTAAAACAGAACAAACTGCTTTTGATTCCCTAATAGAAAACCTCACGTCACCCCCTATTTTAGCCTATGCAGACTTTTCCCAACCTTTTATTGTAAATATTGATGCTAGTAGGGAAGGTCTTGGCACTGTTTTATACCAGAATCAAGGAGGGTTAGACAGGGTTATAGCTTACGCAAGTAGGGGATTGCGCCCCAGTGAATGCAATTACCCCGCCCACAAATTGGAATTTTTATGCTTGAAATGGGCACTATGTGATAAATTTCATGATTACTTATATGGGAATACGTTTACGGTCTATACTGACAATAACCCTTTAACATATGTAACAACTACAGCTAAGTTGGATGCAACATCGCACCGCTGGTTAGCGTCTCTTTCAAATTACAATTTCAAATTAGTTTACAAAACTGGCAAATCTAATAGAGATGCTGATGGGTTATCACGGAGACCAACAGAGGTAGAAGTTTTTCCTGATGTTATAAAAGCTTTAACATCTGCACTTTTAGTTGAAAAGGAAGAACTACCTTTAGCTGAATGTTTAGTTATATCACAGAATGCTCAGTTAAAACATGTAGAAATAGAAAGTGAGAATACAGATTTTAGTACCAGTAATATCAATTGGAAAGAGGAACAAGATAAAGATACAGCCATTAATAGAGTAGTTGAGTTAATACACACTGGATTGAAACCTACAGGTAAGGACTTACAAAACGAAAGTCAAGATGTTAAGGAGTATCTTAGAGAGTGGAAGAACTTAGAAATTTGTAAAGGTATACTTTATAGAAACACTATTCAAGATGGAGTAAGTATTAAACAATTAGTCTTACCAGCACAGTACAGAGATGTAGCTTTTAAAGGAATTCATGACAATGCAGGACACCAAGGTAGGGGTAAGACTCTATGGTTAGCTAAACAAAGATTCTTTTGGAATGGAATAGATAATGATATTAAATCCAGAGTAGAAACTTGTGGAAGGTGTGTAAGAAGAAAAGTAGGTGATACACCAAGGGCTGATCTTGTTAATATCCAAAGTACTAAACCCTTAGAAATTTTATGTATAGATTTTTTATCTCTTGAAAGATCAAAGGGTGGATTTGAAAATATACTGGTGATCACAGATCATTTCACTAGATATGCAATGGCTGTGCCAACGATGAACCAACTTGCTAGAACAACTGCAAAAGTATTATTTGAAAATTTTATATGTCATTATAGTTTTCCTGAAAGATTACATTCAGATCAGGAAAGAAATTTTGAAAGTAAAGTTATTAAAGAACTTTGTAAATTATCAGGTGTGAGTAAATCACGTACAACACCATATCACCCCATGGGTAATGGTCTAGTTGAACGTTTTAACCAAACTTTACTGAAAATGTTGGGAACTTTAGAAAATTACAAGAAAGATGATTGGAAATCTTATATTTTACCGTTGGTTCATGCTTATAATGCAACCAAACAAGACACAACTGGTTTTTCACCACATTATTTAATGTTTGGTTGGCATCCAAAGTTGGCCGTTGATGCATTTTTAAATTTAGATCCTTCAGAAATGTCTGATAAGCCAGTTAGTCATCAAACTTATGTTGACAAATTGAAGAAAAGATTAACCTTTGCTTATAATGTCGCAAGATCTAATGTTGAAAAAAATACTACAAGACACAAAGAGAACTATGATAATAGAGTCCGATTCTCAAAGTTAGAGATCGGAGACAGGGTTCTAGTTCGCCTTTTAGTAAAGACTGGAAAAAGTAAACTATCTGATAAATGGGAAAAAGATCCATATGTTGTGTTAGATATTCCCAATAGTGACATTCCTGTTTATAAAGTACAGAAGTCATCTGGCAAAGGACCAGTAAGATTACTTCACAGAAACTTACTGTTACCGTTTATGTTCTTGTCAGATGATGACTGTCTTACAAATAATAAGACCAAGAAAAGTAAGAAAACTGTTAAACAAAAACATAGTGTGTTTACAGTAAGTGGAACAGATTCTGAATCAAGTGATTCTGAATCAGAGGTGTTACTGGTGACAAAACCAGCGAATACAAATAAGTGTAAAAATGTTCATAACACTTCACGTGTTAACCATAATACTCATCTCAATAGTTCAAATGAACAAATGAGATCAGATGGTTTGACATTTAACACATTTAATATTTCAGATTTTAGTAGACCTATGTCAAGGTTAGAAAATTCTTCTTCCGTTGACCCTGGATATCAAATACAGGATAGTGGTTCTTCTTTTAACACAGTATCGAGTACAAATTTATCCGAAATGCATGATAATTTGTCGCGAGGTAGTGAATCGAGCCCGTCTACTATTCAACCAAGTATAAGACGTTCCACAAGAGTTAAAAATCCTCCTGATAGATATGGAAATTGGGTTGTAGGGGAGCATGATGCTCAAGTATGGTATGTGTAGGAGGAGAATGTCACAGGATTATTACAGGGATTAGATTTCAGATAGTATATTCCAGATAGTTAGTGTATATAGTTTTATGACGTAGATATCTAAAGTTGATAGTTTTAGGACGTATGTGATAGTTGATAGTTTTATGACTTACATGATCGCTAGTTGATCATATTACCTAGATTTTAGGATACTTTATTAATCATGGATTGCTTTTCAGCGTAGCCATTCGTGATTCCAGTTTTATGACAATAATACATTGATATGAATTGATTGAATGATTTTGTATTTCAGCTTGTGCTAATACAAAATGCTTTCTGTTATGGAGCAGCAGATGTTGTAAAACAATAATCATCAATTATATGTGTGTTGATATTTTTAATATTTAATATTTTTATTTCAGTTGATATATAATTTTTTACAATGTGATTTGATGAAATGTGAGGACACATTTTTCTCAAAGAGGAGGAGAATGTCACAGGGTGAATTATAATTAATTGATTAATATTACTAATTATCATTCATATCATATTCATACATTTGTCTAAGGCATTATATTATTATAGTAACTAGTGAATTCCGTTCTCACTACGGAATTTACTACGTTCATTCATTGCCTTATTCATTCATTCATTCATTTATACGGGTGAGTGGTCAGTGAGAGTACAGGTGTGTGAGTGGTCAAACTGGTTTTATTCTGTCCCCTGCGCATTCGCGCCAATACTAATTCTCAAGCACTCCAACCTAAGACTTTGGGGAGAGAAGACGCTCTCTCTCCCCAACACAACTTTATCTCATAATAATTGTGAACTTCGTCTAGGAATTACGGTCACCCTTCCTTCTATGTTATAAATTCCATAATTGTAGATTATATATTATATATAAACATCGAACCCAGCAGCCGTGTTGTGTTGTATTTTACCACATTTATAAGGCTGTGACAGTTGTATGCTGTTTGTTGTTGAGTTGCATGACTTCTGTCTTGTCAGTGTTGACCTTAAGACCTGTCTTTGCTGCTTCTGTGGCCAGCCCCTCTGTCTTAAGCTGCATGTGTTTATATTTCTGGGACATAAGACATAGTCATCAGCAAAGTCAAGGTCTTCCAAACAATGGGTGACGGTCCACTGGATTCCTGTCTTGCAATCTCTTGTGGTTTTCAGCATACTCCAGTCCACCAGCACTAGGAAGATCATTGGTGACAACAAACAGCCTTGTCTAATGCCTGTAAGCACCTCAAAGGTTTCTTGTAAGCTTACTGTTGTGGATGACTGAGCACTAAGCATCATCATACAACTGTTGTCTGAGGTTAAAGGTGGGTGGAATTCCATTGTGCTGGAGTAGGTTCCAGATGACTCTTCTGTCAGCACTATCAAAGGCCTTCTGAAAGTCAAGAAAGTTATGTGGAGAGTGGTTTTCTGGTCTGTACTTGACAGTATAATTTCTTAAGTTGGCCTGTTCTGGTGAAGTTGTTCTTGTAATTTTAGTATTCAATAATCAAACCTTTTGACGAGTACTCAAGTAACTGGTTACTCGTTGACAACCCTGATATATATACACACTCACACACAAAAGAATTTTGAACAATCATTTCTGAAGATGAGCCAGCTATATATTATTACAGAATGGTGCTGGTATTGATGTTACAAACCCCAATGGAGACACAGCTCTTCACAAGGCCGCTTATACTGGCAGACTGGTAAAGTTATTTTTATATACTTTCAAACTGAAAAGCTCAAATTGGTATAAAATATGTTTTTTTTTACCAATATTTGTGGCTTGTCATTTTATCCGTAGGATGTTGTACGAGTGCTTCTGGACTCTGGTGCTGATGTTACACTGATAAATTCAGAAGGACAAACTCCAAGACTTTTTGCCAAAACAAAAGAAATCAGTGAACTCATTCTGGGTAGGTAATAGATGTTTAATACCTTTCCTTCAGAGATTCTCAAAATCTCTTTGTAAAAATCTCAAAATCTCTTTCATATATTGGATGAAAGTTTTACATCCCTTTTTAACACAAGGCAGATTAAGGCTTCTTTTTCCTTCAGCTGCAGAAGACCATGACAACAGAAAGAGAGAACAAATCTTCCTGTCCTCTGTCAGAGAAGGAAAACTGGATTATATCCAAGATATGGTAAGGACAAGGTATGGTAACGGCCCAATTTGGCCCCTTATTTGAGGTAAAAATCAGAACACAGTTAAAATTGTGATAGTTTGTAGTTAAGAACGTAAAATGATGCTTGTTTTAAAACCAGCACTAATTTTGATTCAAAGCTTACACGGAGGCCACAAGAGGGTGCAAAAGTAGGACAATTTCCCGAATTTCCTCAATTCTGGTCAAATTTCGTCAAATTTGAGATACATTTCACTTCAGGAAACATAGAGCACAAGCTTGCCTATCTGAGATTTTTATACACAAGATGCATCTGATACTAGTGTATGTAATATATAAATTTGGTAGATAGGCAAGCTTGTGCTCTATGTTTTCTGAACCAAAATGTGCTGTAAAATCGATGAAAATTTGCATAAAAATGAGAAAATTTGGAAATTGACGTAATTTCTGACCTTCCTGTGACCTCTGTGTATCCCATAACTTAGAACCAATACTCATTTTGTGGCAGGGGTGACAACAGGTTTTTAACTGATAAACTGTTGCATCATTCTAAAAGACACCCCGAACCGGGGGCCAAAAAGGGGTCTTAGCCTATCTTGTCCTTTGATGTGATTTTGTTGCTAGCATTTGAGTGTGAAACCAAGGGGACATTAAAACTCATTCGTCGGTCAGTCTGTCTGTTGCAAAAACTTAAATCTTGGTCATAACTTTTTAATGAGAAGAGGAAGGGCTTTCACATTTCACATGTACCTTACCTGTGACCATGCTATGATTTCTGACCCCATGACCTTGAAGTTTGGTCAACTTTTCAAAAATTTTAACAAACTTTAACCATAGTTATAACTTTTGATTGAGAAAAGATAAGACTTTCATATTTGATGAGTACATTTCCTCTAACAAGACCTTTCCAAACACTTTAACATTGGTTATAACTTTTGAATGAGAGATGATAGGGTGTTCATATTTGACAAATGCATTACCTGTCTCTTAAAGGACTTATCGCATGTTTCTAAATTATTTGAAATTAAAAGCGTAAAACGTTCCTTATGACCTCAGTTTATAAATTTTGTGTTTTTGCTGCAGATAAACCGCGGTAATTAACCAATTATTGACTCAAATGAAAACCCCTGAATTAAAAATCTAAGTTAATTAGATAGCAATCACGTGACCCTGTGACTTCAAAAGCGACAATGGCTGATCAGCTCTATAGTTAATCTTACTAAAATATAAGCGATACAACATGAATATTCTGCATTGTGGATGACGATTTCACTGATTTTATTGATATGAAATTGAATATTCAACCTTATATTTTAGAATTGTCATCAAGAAAAAAATCTGAAAAATTTGTTAACATTGTAAAAATAGCAACGATGATATCGAAGGAGATGCAGCGAAGACGAAGAAACTCGCCAGCATAATACAATTTGATTTGTCATCTTGTCACATGTATTAACTTAATTGATTTACAAATTTTATATTGTATAACTGTGTTATTCTTCGTTTTTAGCATAACATTAAGTTACTTATGTTTTGTAAAGGATGGCAGTCTTGAAAAATAATTTTCCGATCACGAAACATTGCCGTAATCAGAGCTGTACAGATTCTGAATGTTTCGAATAAAAAACGAAAATATCTCAAAAGCCTTATACCTTAGAACTAGTTAATGTTTCTATAGTAATAAAAAAGCACTCTAGGAATTGATTTTTTCAGCATCTTCGTAATTAAGCTGCATTTGTCGTTGATAACTCCGTAAATAGTATACATATTCTCATCTCTCTATCACTGAATTGTCGCCTATGACGTCAGAGGAGTATTTCAATTCTCAATATCTCTTAAAACATGCTTTCAATAACGTTTATTGTATTCAGTATTTTAATAAACAAGGTTGTAGATAATGTTTTTCATAAAATTACGATTTTTGAAAGATCATGCGATAAGTCCTTTAAAGTGATTGAAAGTGATATAACACTTAATTGACCCTGTGATGTTGACCTTGAAGTTTGACCTGATTTTCAAAAATTTTAACGTTGATGACAACTTTTGAATTACCTGTCTCAAAAAGTTTCCAAATGTGATATGAAATTTGACCTGCTGACCTTGACCTTGAAGTTTGACCTAATTCATTAAAATTTTTATATTGGTGATAAAGTTTGAATGAAAAATGATATGGTGTTCATATTTGACAAATGCATTACCTGTGTCAAAACGTTTCTTAGTGTACTATGATATTTGACCCTGTGACCTTGACTTTAAATTTTGACCTAATTTTCAAACATTTTATCATTGCTGTTAATTTTGAAGACGCAAAGATAGGACATTCATGTGTGACATGTGCATAACCTGTGACAAGAATTTCCAAATGTACTATAATGATTTTTAACCCAAAGACCATGTCCTTGATATTTGACATAATTTTCAAATATTTAAACATTGCTGATTACTTTTAGCTCACCTGAGCCGAAGGCTCAAGTGAGCTTTTCTGATCGAAATTTGTCCATTGTCTGTCGTCGTTGTCGTTGTCGTAAACTTTTCACATTTTCATCTTCTTCTCCAGAACTACTGGGCCAATTTCAATCAAACTTAGCACAAAGTATCATCGGGTGAAGGGGATTCAAGTTTGTTCAAATGAAGGGCCATGCCCCCTCCAAGGGGAGATAATTATGAAATAGCAAAAAATTAATGGCATTATTGAAAAATCTTCTTCTCTAGAACCAATAGGGTGGGGCCACAAAGGACGATCAAAGTTTTACATAGGGATATAGAGGAAAAATCTTCAAAAATCTTCTTCTCAAGAACAGCAAAGCTATGATTGGTCATATTTATATGGAAGCATCCTCAGGTGGTGTAGATTCAAGTTTGTTCAAATCATGACCTCCAGGGGTAGGGTGGGGCCACTATGAAAGTTCAAACTTGTAGAGAAAAAAGTCACAGTTAGTCAAAAAATCATGTAAGCATCCTTAGTTAGTGTAGATTTAATTTTGTTCAAATCATACCCCCCCCCCCCACTCCCTTTTAGGGGTAGGTTGGGACCACTTATGTATTTAAGCTTTTCAATACTAAACAGATTTTTCCTCTTTTCCTAGTAACAGTGCTCAGGTGAGCGATGTGGCCTCTGGGCCTCTTGTTTGCTCACCTGGGCAGAAGGCTCAAGTGAGCTTTTCTGATCACATTTTGTCTGGCGTCTGTCTGTCTCTCTGTAAACGTTTCACATTTTCAACTTCTTCTCAAGAAGCACTGGGCCAATTTCAAGCAAACTTGCCACAAAGTATTCTTGGGTGAAGGGGATACAAGTTTCTTCAAATGAAGGGCCACACCCTCTTCCAAGGGGAGATAACTAAAAATTAGGGAAAAATTAATGGAATCTTTTAAAAATCTTCTTCTCAAGAACCACTGGGCCAGAAAGATGAAACTTAAGTGGAAGCATCCTCAGGTAGTGTAGATTCAAATTTTTCCAAATCAAGACCCCCGGGGATAGGGCGGGGCCACAATGGATAATCAAAGTTTTACATAGGAATATATAGGAAAAATCTTTAAAAATCTTCTCAAAAACAGCAAAGCCATGATTGGTCATATTTATATGGAAGCATCCTCAGGTAGTATAGAATCAAGTTTGTTCAAATCATGACCCCGGATAGGGTGGGGCCAAATAGAAGATCAATCATATTTATATGGAAGCATCCTCAGGTAGAGTAGAATCAAGTTTGTTCAAATCTTGATCCCCTGGGGTAGGGTGGGGCCACAATGCATGATCAAAGTTTTACATAGGAAAACATAGGAAAAACCTTTAAAAATCTTTTTCTCAAGAACAGCGAAGCCATGATTGGTCATAGTTATATGGAAGCATCCTCTGATAGTATAGATTCAAATTTGTTCAAATCGCGACCCCTGGGGGTATGATGGGGCAACAGTGGGCAATCAAAGATTTACATGGGAATATAGAGGGAAAATCTATAAAAATCTTCTTCTCAAGAAGAGCAAAGCTGTGATTGGTCATATTTATATGGTAGCATCCTCAGGCAGTGTGGAATCAAGTTTGTTCAAATCATGACCCCCCAGGGGTAGGGTGGGGCAACAATAGAAGATCAATGGTATATGAAAAATTCTTGAATAATCTCCTTTAGCCGTGATTAGTCAAAGAAATATGGAAGCATCCTCAGGTAGTGTAGATTCAAGTTTGTACCCCCGCCCCAACCACCACCACTTATATATTTTAAGTTTTCAGTACTGAACTGAATTCTGCTTTTTTCTCATCTTACATGCTCAGATGAGTGATGTCGCCCATGGGCCTCTTGTTGACCACATGACCTTGAAGTTTAACCAACAGTCTTTTTCAAATTAGTTTTACATTGGTAATAAATTTTGAATGAGAGAAGATAGGGCTTTCATATTTTTACATGTACTAATACCTTTCAGAAAGATGTATCTTTTTTCACTTCATGACCTTGACCTAATAGTTTGACCCACTAATCAAAAATTTTAACCTTGACTATAACATTTATGCTCCAGAAGAGACAGGGTTTTCATATTTTTTTCACATGTGCATGACTTGTGACAAGACCTTGCAGATTGTATTATGATATTTGACCTCATGACCTTGATCTTGAAGTTTGATGCAGTTTTGAGAAGCATCATTGCTGTTATTAATTCAATAATATATGTCTTTTTTTGTATGATGCACAGACAAGACAGGACATACAAACAAGGAAGTTACAATATGCCATAAATAATGGCATCATTAAGACACCAAAAGTGGGGGACCAGAATTCTTTGAATTTGCTGGTTTGTGACAAGATCTTTTGGATTGTATTACGATATTTGACCTCTTGACCTTGATCTTGAAGTTTGATACAGTTTTGAGAAGCTTTAATCTTTGTCATAACTTTTATTAAATTCAATACTGGGATAATTTATGTCTCTTTTGTGTGATGCACAGATAAGACAGAAAACACAAACAAGACAGTTACAATATGCCATAAATAGCTGCATCCTTACAACTAAGGCACCAAAAGTGGGGGGTC